CCCCAAAACCCCAAAACCCCAAAACCCCAAAACCCCAAGATTACAAATTAACAAAAAATATTGCGAATTAGGATATTAGAAATATTATATTGTAAACATGGATGTAACAGGGTAGAATTAAATTTCACAATAGTATTAAGGTTCTCCAAAGCAATCAACATTAAATGATGAATTAACTATTGAGTCAATGTTTTAAGTGTACGATAAAGACGCCGGTGCTTTTATGGATGTAAGAGAGATAATGGACTTTGAAGAGGGCGACTTTTAAAATAATTAGGAAATTAAGTAGATTTTAGCATATATGAATCAGACTAATCCCATTTAATAATAGACCACAACTGAGGTAATCCCACAAACAATGGTCTAGACTTTCACTAATAGTAAGTTTAACTCTTACTTTAAGAACTCAAACTTTGAAGACAATGATCAGTCGTACAGAAACACAGCTGTGCTGTTTAACAGAATGACCTAATTTGATACTCTAATTATACCAAATTATCTTCTGAGTGTCATAAATCAAGAGAGAAAACTGCTCTCGAAACTGACTGGGGAGCAAAGGAAGCAAAAAATGACTGAAATAGCTTAACTCCAAAATACTTCTTGGCAAGATTGGTGGGAAATGAAGATGAACAAGAATATAGAACTCGTAAGGGCAATCAAGACACATTAATTGACAAAAGTAAAGGAATTGCTAGATGAAAAGAAATACATGGATATGTGTGCTGATGTGAATTTCCAAAAGCTTTAGAACATGTCACCCTTACACTATGCTGTTGAAGTTCAAAATCATGATATAGTCAAATTATTGATAAAGAAATTTGCAGAGTTAAATTCAAGAAATGATAATGGGCAGACTCCTTTGCATATAGCATGCACATATGGAGCATTGGAAATTGTAAAAGAGCTTACAAAAATTAAAGATGAAATATTCATAGATATTCAAGATAATGATGGCAATACACCCCTGCACTTAGCTACTAAATCAAATCTATTAAAGGTAGTTTAGCATCTAATCTAGGATTGTAATGCTAACTGCTTGATAACAAATAGTCTAAAGTAAAGACCAAAGGATGTCTCATAGAATCCTTAATTAATTCTGGTAAAAATTCATAAAGAATGATTACAATAATATAGATATTAGCTGATTATGAGTAGAGATAGGTATTGTCAGGCAGAGGAAAGAAGACTAACAAAAATTTCTTATAAAAAACTATTGGAAGTATCCTAAATAGAAATAAATAAGGGTATGATTATTTTTACCTTTTGATATTTATAGGGATAACTTTGATGAATAAGGGCATTAGTCCTAATCTCTTGATGAGGTCCCTGATGTACCAGCTATGTATCAATAGAAATTTGAGAAGAAAACTATCTAAATCTAAGATATTGACAAGCATCTGTCTGATGATCTTGAAAATACGACGATTAATCTAAAATCATTCAACGTAATAGAGAGACTAGGAAAAGGAAGTTTTGGATCAGTATATTTAGTTGAAAAAAAGTCAACTAAAAAGATATATGCTATGAAAGTACTAGAAAAAGAGAAAGTTTTGAAATAAAATCTGGTAAGATATGCAATGACTGAAAGAAATGTGCTCTAATTGGCTCATCATCCATTTATTGTTAGTCTTAACTATGCCTTTCAAACAAGTCAAAGGCTATATCTAATTTTAGATTATTGTCCAGGAGGTGATATGGGAATGGCACTCTCAAAACAAAAAAGATTTCCTGAGGATATTGCAAGAATGTATCTTTGCGAGATAATTTTAGCAATCGAATACTTGCATCTTAATAATATAGTTTTTAGAGATCTAAAGCCTGATAATGTAGTTTTTGATAATGAAGGTCATGCATTACTTACTGATTTTGGCCTCTCCAAAGAAGGATTAGGTGGAACCTAATAATCCTCATCTTTTTGTGGTTCAGTAGCGTATTTAGCCCCTGAAATGTTGAAAAGATAAGGTCATACAAAGTCTATAGATTGGTATTTATTAGGAGTTCTACTATATGAAATGCTTGTGGGAGTTCCACCATATTTTTCGACCGATAGATCAAAGCTTTTTGAGAATATTTAAGGAGGTCCTCTTAAGATTCCTCATACAATGAGTGAAAATGCTAGAGGTTTAATACTTTAACTTCTTAACAGAAATCCTTTAAAAAGATTAGGAGCAGGTCCAAAAGATTCTGAAGAAATAAAAACACACATCTTCTTTAAGGATGTTGATTGGAAATAGGTAATAGATAGATAGCTCTAAGTCCCAAAACCAAGAATCAGAAAAATAGAACAGAACTAATTCTCTATATAGAGCTTTTTGTAAGAAGAAGAGAAAATTGAAGAAAGACAAAATGAATTAGTATAGTAATTAGAGTAAAACGACTAAAATCCACCTGAAAGAGGAAGTAGTAAGTTCTTGAAAAACTTTATGTCAAAAAAGAAAGACGTAAAGGATATCATTAAGAATGAGTAGGAAGCAAATAAGATTCCGGGTTGGTCTTACATCAAGAAAACTTGAATATAGAGATAAATTATCAAGCACTCTATAATTTATCATTATCTCGAATATTTATTTTTAACAATAAAATTAAAATAGAATATGATTCTGAAGGGGTTTTGGGGTTTTGGGGTTTTGGGG